CCACACCGGGCATTCATTATCCTCTGAACAAAACTTCGTTTCATTTTAAACAACTCATCACTAGAAAAAATTTTGAGATAATATCTATCCCTCTGCTTCTTTCTCTTTGATTTATTATTCATTAAAGGTCTTTCTGAATCCTACATAAAATAGGCTTGGAATGGAGAGAGGTCAAACTTCTCTCAGTTTCTTCTACAGTTTTCATTCATAAATATAGTTTTTAAAATGAATTTTAGAGTGTGGGTTTATCTTGGTTTACTAACAACTTTATTATCAGGCATTTGAAATTATAAAGAACACATTAATGAAAATCTCATACATTAATTGCTTTTTGTATTTAGGTACGTACTGAATATGATTCCTCACAGTTTGGGCACAGATATCTGACTCAGAAAAGATTGGAATATTGTACCTACTTGAGATACTTGATCTAGTTTATAGAAAAGGTGCAGTGGTTGCAATTTCAAGAAGGCAGTAGTTCTCATGAGCCATCTTCATTTCACCAATGCATGTCAACAGTACTATTTCATACGCATTCCTACCCATGCAACACTATCTGAAGGCAGGAAAAGGAAGGCTGGATGAGTCTTTAAGTAGTAGGGAAAAGGGAAGGACCCACGAATGTTCTGTGATGAACAGATAAAAAACAAATGAAGTAAGTAAACTCGGATACTGTCTTAATTACTACAAGGTTTGAAGGGTTTGGGGACTGAAGAGTGGGCATGTTATTTCTGTAGTTATTGTTAAATGTTCTTTTTATGTTCAAATTGCCTAGGACCTTTTTTTTTTTTTTTTTTGAGTAGAAAACATATTCTGAAGTTTTATGTATACAGATTAAATGTTGAAACTAAAATTGGATTTTATTTTAGCTTTATAATAATAGGACTTCCGGTGCTTTTAATATTTTCCTTTCCTTTTTTTTTTTTTTTTTTTTAAATCAAAGTCAACTCCCTACATTAAAAATACTTGTTTTGCCTGAGTGTCAAGCTAGATGGGAGGTTGATGTTTGATTCCCAGTCAAGGCACATGCCTGGGTTGCCGTCTCAGTCCCCTGGTGGTGAATGTGCAGGGGGAGGCCTGTTTCGATAATTCTCTTATCATTGATGTTTCTGTCTCTCCCTCTCTCTTCCTCTCAGAAATCAATAAAAATGTATTTTTAAAAAATTCTTATAGTGCCGAAGCCGGTTTGGCTCAGTGGTAGAGCGTCAGTCTGCGGACTGAAAGGTCCCAGGTTTGATTCCGGTCAAGGGCATGTACCTTGGTTGTGGGCACATCCCCTGTGGGGGGTGTGCGGGAGGCAGCTGGTCGATGTTTCTCTCTCATCAACATTTCTAGCTCTCTCTCTCCCTTTCTCTCTGTTAAAACTCAATAAAATATATTTAAAAAAAAATTCTTATAGTGTCATCCAGCCATCCTGGCTCAGTGCTTGAGCATCGACTTATAAACCAGGGGTTCTTTCTATTCCCTGTCAGGGCACATGCCTGGTTGCAGGCTTGATCTCCAATAGGAATGTGCGGGAGCCAACTGATCAATGATTCTTTCATCAATGATGTTTCTATCTCCCTTTCCCTTTCTCTGAAATCAGTAAAAACATTTTAAAAGGGGAAATTATTATTTTAAAAAATACAGTATCTACCATAAATTGTTAAGTGGAAAAAACTAGTTGCAGAAAGAAATGTATATAGTATGATCACAATTAGGTTAAAAAAAATATACAACAAAAGCAAAACTGTGTGTGGCACATGGTAGATACTCCTATCTGTTGATTCTGTATGTACCCTTAGAAACTGAAGATACAATCCAGAGTGTTTGGAGAGGTTATCTCTGGGAAAAGGTGTGCAGTTTAAAGTGCGTTTTTATTCAGTATACTTTTATGTTTGAATTATTTGCAGTGAGCATGTGTTACTTTTGTATACATTTTTAAACAGTCAAAAAATTTACAATCTATGGATAGACACCTCTTCTCAAATAGGTCCACTTTGTTTTATACCCTACAGTGCATATCAAGCAATAAAAGACACTTATTTTACTTTTTACTCCTCATCTGAAGATATTTTTTCCATTGTTTTGTTTTTTAGAGAAAGAGTGGAAGGGAGGGAGGAGGGACACAGAGAGAGGGGAAGGGGGGAGAGAGAGAAAAAAAAAAGAGAGAGAAAGAGAGGTGAGAGAGGCACATGATGAGTTGAATCAACCCAGGCTGCAATCAAGCCTGCAACAGAGATGTACAGGCCTTTGATCAGGAATCGAACCCACGACCCTTTCTTCTGTGAGCCAACGCTCTTACCACAGAAAACCAGCCAGGGCAAAAAGACAGCTATTCTGACTCTACAGAATTATTGATTCTCCAGTGATCAAGAAAAAAGCAGTGATCAAACCTATTTGCTCGGTGTCATTTCCATGTAACTTAATAAGTTTTTTTAAATAGAATTTTTCTAAGGAAATTTTCAAACATACAAAAATTGAATTATATCCGTCTCCCAACTTTAGCAGTTATCAGTATATGACCAATCTCTTATCATCTCTAGCCCCACAGCCAACCCACTGTATTTATTTTCAAGCATATTTTAGATATAATTTCATCTATAAAGTATCAGTATGTATATCTAAAAGGACTCATTTTCAACAAAACTAAAATGTCCTTATCACTTTTAAAAATGAGCAATAATTCCTTCATTCCCACCATCTAATAAGTTTTTAATATTTTGCGGTTTAGTTACTAATTTTCAACTTAAGTTGCTGTGTTATTTACTTTCATTGTTATATCCTTTAAGTACTTTTAAACTCATGTCTTTTTTCCTTTCAAATTTAGTATACATTTTCCCTTGTAGAGTTGTAATAAAACCAAAATGGTGGTTTTTTTCTTGACTTTTCTTGTTATTTCTTAAAATTAAAATGAGAAGCTTGACTAAATGACTGAGTATTTTTCATTTTCAAATTTAAAACATGACAGATATATATTATTGAATTTTGCTACATTAGAATGGAAGACTTGATTCATACCTTGACTGTAATAGCAAAGTGACACAAGTCACAAATCATGATCAGTTTTTCTTTTGTTTAAGTGCTTTTGTGATATCTTGTCTGACTGTAATATTTTTGTTTTACATAGGTCGCCTATTAATAGAAGATGGCAAAGCCCAGCCACAGCAGTTACGTCCTTCAGCAGCTAAACAACCAAAGAGAATGGGGTTTTCTCTGTGACTGTTGTATTGCAATTGATGACATTTACTTTCAAGCACACAAAGCCGTTCTAGCTGCTTGTAGCTCCTATTTTCGGATGTTTTTCATGAACCATCAGCATAGCACTGCACAGCTGAATCTCAGCAACATGAAAATTAGTGCTGAGTGTTTTGATCTCATTTTGCAATTTATGTATTTAGGAAAAATAATGACAGCTCCCTCCAGTTTTGAGCAGTTTAAAGTGGCCATGAATTACCTACAGCTGTACAATGTTCCTGACTGCTTAGAAGACATACAGGATGCAGACTGTTCTAGTTCAAAATGTTCATCATCTGCTTCCAGCAAACAGAACAGCAAAATGATATTTGGGGTGAGAATGTATGAAGATACTGTGGCTAGAAATGGCAATGAAGCCAATAGGTGGTGTGCAGAGCCAAGTTCAACAGTAAATACACCACATAACAGAGAGCCTGATGAAGAGTCTCTACAATTAGGTAATTTTCCTGAACCACTATTTGATGTATGTAAAAAAAGTTCTGTGTCCAAATTATCTACTCCAAAAGAACGTGTGTCGCGACGCTTTGGACGAAGTTTTACCTGTGATAGTTGTGGATTTGGCTTTAGCTGTGAAAAATTATTAGATGAGCATGTGCTAACCTGTACTAACAGACATTCATATCAAAACACGAGATCCTATCACAGAATAGTAGATGTTAGAGATGGAAAAGAGAGTAATATCAAAGCTGAATTTGGTGAAAAGGATTCTTCTAAGACATATTGTGCACAGACAGACAAATACAGAGGAGACACAAGCCAGCCTGCTGATGATTCGACTTCAACCACTGGAAGCAGGAAGAGTAGCACAGTGGAGTCTGAACAAGCCAGTGAAGAAAAAAGCAGAGCTGCCGAGAGAAAAAGAATTGTTATCAAGATGGAGCCAGAAGATATTCCTACAGATGGACTGAAAGATTTTAACATTATTAAAGTTAATGATAAAGATTGTAATGAATCCACTGACAACGATGAATTAGAAGATGAACCGGAAGAGCCATTTTACAGATACTATGTTGAAGAAGATGTCAGTATTAAAAAAAGTGGTAGGAAAACTCTAAAACCTCGAATGTCAATGAATGCTGATGAAAGAGGTGGTTTAGAAAATACGCGACCCCCTAACAACAGCAGTCCAATACAAGAAGATACTGAAAATGCATCTTGTGAACTGTGCGGACTCACAATAACTGAGGAGGACCTGTCATCTCATTATTTAGCCAAGCACATTGAAAATATCTGTGCATGTGGTAAATGTGGACAAATTCTTGTGAAGGGTAGACAACTTCAGGAACATGCTCAAAGATGTGGAGAACCCCAAGATCTGACAATGAATGGGTTAGGAAATACTGAGGAGAAAATGGACATGGAAGAGAATCCTGATGAGCAGTCTGAAATAAGAGATATGTTTGTTGAAATGTTGGATGATTTTAGGGACAGTCATTTCCAGTTAAACAGTATCCAAAAAAAGCAGTTATTTAAACATTCTGCCTGTCCTTTTCGGTGCCCTAATTGTGGCCAGCGTTTTGAGACTGAAAATCTAGTGGTTGAACATATGTCTAGCTGCCTAGACCAAGATATGTTTAAGAGTGCCATCATGGAAGAAAATGAAAGAGATCACAGACGAAAGCATTTTTGTAATCTGTGTGGAAAAGGATTTTATCAGCGGTGTCACCTCAGAGAACACTATACTGTTCATACTAAGGAGAAACAGTTTGTGTGTCAGACATGTGGGAAGCAGTTTTTAAGAGAACGTCAGTTGCGACTGCACAATGATATGCACAAAGGCATGGCCAGGTATGTCTGTTCCATTTGTGATCAAGGAAACTTCAGAAAGCATGACCATGTACGGCATATGATTTCTCATTTATCTGCTGGTGAGACTATATGCCAGGTCTGCTTTCAGATATTCCCAAATAATGAACAGTTGGAACAGCACATGGATGTTCATCTGTATACATGTGGAATATGTGGAGCAAAATTCAATTTGAGGAAAGATATGAGATCACATTATAATGCCAAGCATTTAAAAAGAACATAAATCATTTTCTGTGTTCTAATGTTTAGTTCATAGCAGAAAAAACACCAAAGCAAAGGATGTGAGCTATTTAGAAATTGATTTCTTAAGATTAATTGTTGGAAAAAAATTTCAAGGCCCTTTTACCTTTTTGTTTAGGATCTTAAGTATCTACATTTTAGGTGTCTTACATGTTTTTGTTTTTTCTTAATAGAATTCTTTGTTTTTAGTTTGTTTTAGCTATGATTAAAAATTTCTTTTAAATGTAGACTACAAGTGGTTGTTACCTTTAATGATTATTAAACTTTAGTTTTTTATTAAGGTGATGACTTCACTATTTCTATGTGGGGTTTTTTTTTTTTTTAAGATTATCCTGTGAAATTTTAAACCCAACATCATTGGCCATTCCTATTTAAATTTTAAAAAGTAATTAGTTATTTGAAACTATCCTATTCACTTTTAGCTTTTTTTAGCTTTTCTTTTTGGTAAGTTAAACAGTGATTTAGCCATTGTTTATTCCCCTTCTTAAGAAAATTCATATTCTTATTACGCAGGTTAGGTGCACAGAATCTAACCCTGAAGGTTGACATGGGCTCAGACTTGGCCCCAAAAGATTGATAGACCTAAGAAAATTCCTATAAATGAATATTTTCCTATAATTGATAAAATATTATCATTTAATAATCACATTTAAAACTTATATTAAGTGTAAAACCCAATGACTTTACTCCATTTGAGAAATTTGTGAGGATAAGTCATTTTGTTTTGTGATATTAAATTTAACTATGATAGTTAATTAAAAAGAAATATCTTGTATTCATTTAAAATAATTTAAAATATTCTGATTTCTAAAGTGTGTTAGTTTATCAGTTATTTTTGTTTATATAAATAGATTTTAATAGTTCTCTAGGAATATGACATCTAAAGAAACATGATTTTTCACCTTTAAAAGTACATACTTTTGGAACTTTGAGATTTGAGAAAGCTGCCATGTGTATTGATAAAATAAATAAAATTTAAAAATCAATTACAAATCTGGTTGTTCTATAAAAGTAGAGTGTGCAAAAAAACTGTCTTGTGTTTTATACTATTAAGATTTGGAGAAAATGTGCTTTGGCAAATTGCAGTTTATCACCATGCTTTCCTATTATTTTTTTCTGTAAAAGACTACAAACTGAGGACTATAAAATAATCACAGAGCATATAAATGGAAATAGTTTATCATTTTTTAGTTAAAGTAGTATTACTGTTAGGTATTGCTGACACAGGGTCTACATGAATTACATGTGAATTAAAACACTGGCTAACTGACCTGCCAATAAACACAACTATTGAATAGAATGCCTTTTAATGTGAATTACTTGCATTATAAATACCATTATCATAATGAATGGGATTTGAAATAACTCCAATATTTAAAAGTATAATTTTGTGAGTATAAATAGTATTGCTCCTTTTTTACATCAGGTTTTTAAGATATGCAAGTCATATTTTTGTATACAACTTGCATTAAAGAACAAATTGCCAGGAGAATTGAGAGATCTATTGACTAACACAGTCTTAGTTGACAGAGAAGTATTAAAGTACAGTGTGAGTCAGAGATTTGTGGGGAGACTTTTTTTTTTAAGCTACATAGAAAAAGTGATTCATCTTAGTCTTGGATATAGTAGTTTAGCAAGTAATTAAATCTGAAATGCAACTTAAAATGAAATATGCCATATACATTATTGATAGGAACCTGATAAAAGTTCTGTAACAAACCCAGAGACAATCAGAGAATAGTGTAGAGAGGTAAGGGAAACTTAAATTTCTAAACTGTATAGTATAGTAAATTAATTTTCTCTGGGACCACTGTTATCCATGACCCTCATCAAAATCTATTGCAATGGCTTTTCCATCAAAAAAGAACAGAGTTCTTTTTAAATACTACTACTAATACCAATCCATTTCCTAATGGATTGTCTACTCAATTAGGAAAGGTGATATAACTTAAGTGTTTTGACATGTACTAATAGCCAACAGTTAGCAACCAAATGTATAAATACTGAAGATCTGGTGCACGAATTTGTGCACACTGAAAGGAAATTAATTAGAAGAAATATTTTAGATCCTGGGGAGGGAGGGACCGTAGATGGTTGGCTCAAGGGTGTGACCAGCCCATATTGCCCAGTCCTGATTAAGGGTGTCTCCCCCAGTCCCCATTGGGGCTTGCCAGCCAGGAAGGGACCATGGGAGGGTTCTAGGGCGTATCCAGCCCTTCTCGCCCAGTCCCAATTGGCTGGACCCCAGCAGCAAGCTAACCAATTGGGTGTAGTGTCTGCCCCCTGGTGGTCTGTGCATGTCATAGCGACTGGTCAAGCAGTCGATTGACTGATGGGTTAGACACTTAGCACATTAGGCCTTTATATAGATAGATTAAACCATCTTTAGTTTCACATGACAGATATTTATAGTTCCCCAAAGCCACACCTCAAAGAGTTTTCTCTATCTCATGTTATACAGAACACACACCTTTGGTTCTGGAACTAGCTACAGGGGGGATGCGGACTTTAAGTAAAAAACGTACAGTTTTCCTTGTTAAGGTAGAGTTTAACTTAAAGGCTTCTTACTTGCCTTTTAAAATTAGGAATGAAAAGTATCCATCACCTCTGACCAGCCCAGTTTCCTCTCATTTTTTACTTCTCCTAGGTTGGAAATAACAGCTTTGGAGCTTACTATTGCTTCTTGCGCTTTATTGCTGTGAAGACAATGAATCAAGGTTATGGAAGCTGTGTGCTCCTCTTGCCTTTATAATTTGAGTGATCGGGCTCCATATCTAAAAATGAGAGGAAAATCTGGATAAATATATGCACAATCTTGTTTTTCTTTCTGTCTTGCTTAATAAACGCGGTCTTGCTTAAAAGGACTTTTGTTCTCTACCATGGAATTCTAGAGTAATGGAAGCAGTGCCTAAAAGGCTTGCATCAATTATAGTGCCACTCAGATGTTTTTAATTCTTTAGTAAACAGGACTAAGAAACGCAAGAGATTAATAAAGCACAACCAAGGGGGAGTGGACAAGGACTCTTAATCACCTATTTATTCAGAGAAATGCCTTATCACATGAAGTAAAATAGCACATGTCTAATGTTTAATGTGTGAAGTTTGAATATAGACAAGGATTAGAAGAAAGATTCCAAGGGTTAGTTATAAAAATAAAAGAATTAAAATGAGTTTGCTAGAGCACTCGGAGCACCAATTAAAAGGTAAAATATAGACTGACCTAAAAATCCTATTTAAGTAATGTGGTTGAGGATAAAAATATGAACCAGTCATAAAAGTTGAATAAAAAAATAAATATTTGAAATTTTCTCTGATTTGAATAAAGATTGAAGTAATTTGGTAGGTTAAAATAATTTGATTATGCCCTGGCCAATGTGACTAGGTTGGGTGTCATTCTGTGCGATGAAAGATTGCTGCTTGATTCCCAGTCAGTACACATGGTTGGGTTGTGGGCTCAATCCTTGGTCTAGGGTGTGCAGGAGGCAGCTGATCAATGTTTTGATCCTGCATCGATGTTTCTCTCTCCCTCACCCTCTCTCTAAAAATCAATAAAAAACACTTCTTAAAAATAGTTTGAATAGATTTAAAAAATTCAGAACTATAGAATGCCCAATAAAACAATTATGAACATGCCAAGGACATGCCTAAGTACTTGAGATAATATACCAACTTTAATATTCTAAAAGAGTGGTAAGTGAGGGTTGTGGTTGCCAACTTTCTTCCTGGTTAAAACAATAACTTGTTTCCCTAAATCACTTAAGGAACTTCCATATTTAATAGGTCTCTGGAAACCCCCCTCCCAAAAAAACAACAGTGAAATCGTTAAACAAAAACTTGTCATTTTTAAAAGCTAAATCAGTACCAAAATAACCTGAATGTGTATGTGCACACATAGCTGAGAATAAAGAAATTTGGTTTCTTTTTAATTTAAAATGGTTTTATGAGTTAAAAAATTTTTTTTGTTTTGTTACTATTAATCTACTTTGGTCAGTTCCTCATTTTTCCTCACCATCCCCATCTCCTGTGTATCATCAAATGCTTCTCAGTAATAAATGCTACTGTTCTGCAGGCACCCTAGCATTACTAGGATCCTAGAGTAGTGAAAAGTTCTGTGGGAACATATCCTTGTGGAATGTTCTCCTTAATATTTAGGATATAGTAAACGGGGTGACAGGTGAATGCCAGGGAACTAAGCAAGTAGAGTTATATTTGGTGTTAAGAAATTGAAGTGGCAGGCCAGATTTGGAAACCCATCATCCATCCATCCTAGGGCTCTCGCTAGTAATCCTTGCATCCATTTAGTTAGCACTCTTCCTACTCTGCTAAATGCTTTACATGTGTATTTCTGGTCTTTACAGCCTTATGAGGTAAGTATCATTCTAATTTTTCAGATGGGGACTGAGGTTCAGAGGGACTTCTTTCCTGAGACCACACAGAAAGTAAATACTAGATATGAGAGCTGGAATTTGAACCTAGACCTATCTGATTTCTACATTCCTGTATTTCATCTCAAAGCTACATACTCCACCTACCAAGAAGCACAAAGAAGGGCCTTTTCAACCTAGGAGCTCATGTGATAAAGCTCCCATGAGACTCTGTGCTTCTTGTTCATCACCTGTCATCTGAGGTGCCTGGTACATAGCTGGTAATAGTGGTACCTAATGAACATGGTGAATGATGTAAAAATAATCAGTTGAAAACATCTTTTTTTTTGAATGGGTTATTCAGGATGATGTTTT